TTAGCTGTTTCTTATTTTATCGCTTTTCTTTCTCTTCACGAGATACTCACATGGTTCATCAATCGTCTACATTCTAAAAAATTATTCTTTCGTTCTGTATGGTATTTTCGTCCATTTCAAGAGGAAAAAAAAAATTTTCTGTCCTTTCACAACTTCTACTTTCTTTCGCTTTGATATTCATTTCTGTTGCATTTCGTGTATCAAGTAGCTGCTTATGTTAGTTATCGAGGCAAGTTGTAGTTCATAAATGGAATCAATATTAACTTTAGTATATGTAATACATATTTTTATAATGTCTATGAGAATAAACAAATTCAACTCAAATGAACGTCTTTTATGAAGAAACTCTTTCAGAACGAGAGAAAGAATAAGACATATAGTGCATCGCCAGTTATGGTGAGATTTTTTGAAAAGTTCTGATATCGATCAAATGATGTTAATCATAGTATGTAAGATAAATAGAATATAAACATCAGAAGCATTCGTCAAGAATCAGAAGAACAGTATTTTAATAATTTATTTTCAAATAAAGCGTTTAATGAAGAAAATTCGTTATGAGTATATTTATAGAATGAGGTTTTTGATCTAGCCTTTGATAGACGAATAAATTATAGAAAACCTTATCAATCAAGTATAAAGTGCATAGAAATACTTTTGCAAAGATGACAATGTCATTTTCTAGAATAGAGTTGAAACTTGCGACCGTTCTCGCTTCACATAGAATATTATTGTTTTCGATAAACGGATAGAAGTTTTCTGAATATTAGAAACTTGTTAGATGGTTACTAGTTTCCCACATCATTATCGATACTGACGATAGAATGACTTCTCCAGTTCATCATACAGTATAGTTGTATGATTGTTTTTAAATAATAGTGTTTCGTTTAAATCAGTCAATAATTCATTGATGATATTTTTTTTCGTATAGAACAAAATTATTCATTGAATTGAAACTTGTTAAAACAGAGATATTATGGATCAAATTAAACGAAAATTAACATTTAATCAATCATCAAATGAAGAAATAAAAAAATTACGAAGTAACTTTTTCAAATAGTAAATATAAGCTACTCTTATATATTTTTCATATAAATAGATGACTTTGATCAAACAATAACTTGTATTGAAAATTTATCTAATGAATTTTTCTCTGAAATATTTGATTATATTGATGGTTATGAAATATATAAAGCATTCTCCATCGCTTTTATATAAAACTATGTTTCATTATTCAAATAATAATGAATCGTGCATGGACAACTATAAGCAATTTCTCCTTATTAATAAACATAAAATGTTTTCAATTCAAGTATGGTTCAGAATCACAAAGAATAATTTTTTCTCATGGTTTATCATCGATTCATCATTAAGTCATCTTGAATCACTTCGTGTTGAACCACAGCAACCAGATATACTCATATCACTTCTTATTAATTTAGCTTGTTTACCTCGTCTTTTCTCGTTAATTATCCAACCATCGGATTTGTCAAGATATTTAAATGATCCTTACCGATTAGTATTCACCTTACTTGTATTAAAGTCGTTCATATTCTTTTTGGATAACTACATCAGAATCACACTTCCGATGGCTAACAATCGACAATTGAGTACTATTGAATATTTTGTTACTTATCAATTTTGTACTTTCAATGAACTTTTTACAATTCTTTCATATACACCTCAACTTCGTTGTCTAAAAATTTTTAATAGTATTGATATTGATACAAATATTCAAACTATATTACCAATTACATTATCAAATTTAGCAGATATTTCAATACCTATGAATGATGTAAAATTTGATGAATTTGAAATACTCATCAGAAAAATAGATGCTAGATTAAAATTTTTACGTGTTACTACTCAATCTTAACAAATAAATTTTCTTAGTGCTCATCGATGGGAACAACTAATTTTAATGTCTTTATCTCAATTGGAAGAAATTTTATTTACAATATATTGAATCTTTTAATGAAGAATATAAAATATCCTGAAGCATCAGATCAATTTGTTTCATCATTTTGGATTGATCGAAAATGGACATTTGAAGTTGAAATCAATCATGAATCTATTGATTACTTAGTTTGTCCATACAGGTCCATCGAGAAGATATTTTTTTTATTAAATAACTTATCTTTTTTTTGTTTTTTAATTAGAAAAAGATGGTACGAATATATACAAGATAATATTTTAAATTCTTCTGTTGAATATTCGAAATCTACTCGACTAACTATTAAATATATTAATTTTCATGATTTTGATGAAACCGTAAAGATGGTTATGACACATGTTTTAACTATAGCACAAATTTATCATTTGGAGATTTCAGAAGAAAATGTTTATGTTGAATTCAAGAATTTTCTATTCTTTTGAACTTATGTCCTTATATGAAATATCTCAAAGTGAATTATACAGAAAAAATGGATTTTAAATTTGTTCTACGATATATTTTGAAAAAAATAAAATATGATTGTAATGAACATCTTCGTTTATTGTGTTTTCGTGTTCCAACAGCAGATGAAACGATTGAAAAATTAAATCGAATGATTAATCTTGAAAAACTTCCATGGAACTTTAAAATTAAACGGATAGCTGAGAACCTGTATTTTGAATGGAAATGATTGTTAGATATTTTATATTAATTGTTATAAAACATGTTTTGTGTTTATTAAATAAAATAAACCATGATCGAGTTAGCAAAGTTCGTATCAAGATATACATATATTTTTATTTTTTATTTTTCTCTGTTCATCATTCATATTTCATTAGTCTACCATAAAATACTTAACTAGCGTAAATAATTAACAATAATTATAGCGTATTCACCGTGTTTTACAATAATGAAAACATTGAACCATTTTTTGTTGCTAACTTGGAATCATTAACAAAAATTTGTTTACGTCTAAGGATATCCATTTTGTTTTCTCGACTTGTTTTATTGTCTTAATCCTTCAGTAAAAATATCATTCGACCTGATTACATTCATTTTAATTTCTTTGAATCATGTTTCGGTTTCATGTAGAAAATCTCTTTAAAAGCGACTAATCTTTGTCTGAAATCGTTTCTAGTCTAAGAAAATATAACAATATGGCTCACATTTTCTTACATTAATGCTTAAATATTATACAAAATTATATTAATAGCACTGTCAAATAAGTCAAACCGTCAAGCTAATCTAATCGCAATATTATATACAAATTTGCATGAGATTTTAAAAAAATGTTTATTTTACATCGGCATTGTTTATATTTTTCTATTTCGTCTATTTATATTTACTCATATTAAATAGGCGATTACTAATTTTATTGTTCGTTACCTTCCTCTTGAATTTCTTTTTCAATCAGCTCTTATATATCTTTACAGTCGGTTAAATCCAACTATATCACTAATAGGGTACATTAACTTGTGAATTTTAAATAAAACGTATTATTCAACACTTGATTGATAATACTTTAGACCAAAAAAAAGTTATTGGCTGTCGTACATAAAGAAAACATCACCAAGAGAATTGGTTGCAATACAAAAATAGTTGATAACTATTTTTAGAAGTTATGTGTAATATACTTCTCTAATTCTATCGTTTTAGTTTGGTGTCCATCGATAAGATATCGAAATGTGATAGCATATATTGTTTTTCTAAACAAAGTAAGGTGTAGGTATGTGTATCGTTTTGGTTTCCTCATTTACTCACCCACACTAAGACCCTCAACTATCTGAAATACCTCATATGCTTATTTTCAAATATCATTGTCAAGGAAAAACGAGGAAAATATTCCAAAATTCATATGATTTCCATAGTTATTTATGATAAAAGTAAATGCTTTTTCTCTATACGAAATCACATTGTGATGAAAGATACGACTAAACAAGTAGGTGTAGCTCGATACGAATCGTAGTCGAATCTGATTTGATACACTTTATCAGACGATATAAATTTGTTTTAAATTGAATTAGGAATGCCACAGAAGGATAACACTGGATCGATACTAGAGACAGAACTCGAACCACTTCATAATATCAGTTTCTCTGCTGGCTTCTGATCTAGTTTTTTGAAGTCATATGTTTTGACAACCGGATTGATGAATTTAAATTTAGAAAAATTTATTAAAATTAGAAATAAATTCTTAAACTTAACACCTTCGGGACGGATCACGTATATATATACATGATGACTCTGTATCAACTTGTAATTCATTTATGAGTGTCTCATATGATATGTTTCTAGTCTGTCAGAGAACGATGATCATGTACCAACATTGCTCTCAACTCTTTCTATTAATTTTCTATATTTGTGAAAATTATTGTCCTGTTCTGTGTTTCAAAATCGTTGTGGCTACTACCGTATTGAACAATAACTCAATAACAAATAAAACAATAGCGGAAATAACAATGAAAATGAGAGATATACATCGTTGCTGGAGTAAAAAAAAATATTTTGGAGTATACATGAATAGATTAACAAACGGAAATTATGACGTTAGTATACAATAACATGAAGAAAGAGAATATCTGAGAAAGATCTGTACGACAGGAGCAATGACTTGTGATATTCATAACTCTATAATTTTTAACATTCCGCCGCATATATTCAAGCATATTATATTTGTGAATACTCTTCCTATGCGTTCACTTTTTTCCATTCTTATTCTAGTATATTCAATGTTGTTCTTACCTGTCTGATGCTCAAGTATATAAATATCTGCCTTCATCCTATAGTTATGGTAGTTTCAATCACTTACATAAAGAAGTTCAACTATATTACGAAATACTCTAACAAATACTTTAGTATTTAATACTTTATATCGATTGAAATGACAACTACGAAATCAACGAAATTTTCCAGTATCTTGTATCAGGAATTGGATCGGAAAATGAATCACAAAGTGAACCAGAAGGTGAAAGTAGCTCCGAAGATGAACAACACAATGATTGTGTTTCTGAAGGTTCTACAGACGTTTCAGACAGTAAAAACGCTTCGTCATCTAGTCATTTGACTCATACTTCAAGGTCATGGCAAAAAGTAACTTTCCATTCAAGACTATTTCAATTTGAAAGCAAAGGTTATGGAATTAATAATTTGAATCGGAGTGCACCATTAGACTTTTTCAAGCTATTTTTTTATCAAAGGTTAATTCAAACCATTGTTGACAAAACTAACAAATTTTAGGCATATTCAACTGATGATAATTCGTTGTTAGCATCACTTCGAGCAAAATGGTCTGCAACTAAATCAGATGAAATTTTTCTATTTTTGGCAAAATTCATATTGATGGCTCGTGTGAAAAAATACAGAATCAAAGATTATTGGTCGACCGATTATCTGATTTCAACACTCATATTTGGTGATATCATGCCCAGAGATAGATTTTTGTTACTCTTGAAATTCTTACATTTCAATGATAACGTCAATCAATCAGAACGAGATAGATTATACAAAATAAGACTTATTATGGAAGATTTAAAGAAAAAATTTAGACATATTGTGGTTCCATATAGAAACCTCTGTATTGATGAGAGCTTAATGCTGTATAAATGACAACTAAGTTTTAAACAATACATTCCGACAACACGAAATAAATTTGAAATAAAAATGTTCATTTTATATGATTGTCGTATTGGATTTATATTAGATTTCCTAGTTTACACAGGATCTCATACAGAGATTCTCAACATGGAAGAGTTTGTAATTTCAGGAGCAGTTCTAATAACACTTATGCAGCCATATCTTCAGAAAGGTCACAATCTATTCATTGATAATTGATACACAAGTCCAGCACTTTTTGAATATCTACATGAAAATTCAACTGGTGCCTGTGGTACAATACGACAAAACAGAGTTGAAATGCCAACTTTTATCAAAAAACTAAGAAAAAGTGAAATTGACTATTGGCATACTGATATTTTATTTTGCTTACATAAACAAAAGACTGATCAAACTATTGGATTTTCTGAGTTCCAACTACAGCTGATTTTTGAAATTATTGAAATGTACTCGGAATCAAAAGCACTCAGAGGTCGGTCTAGTACTAGAGAAAATCCTATTAGACTAGTTGATCGTCATTTTCCATCATTGACACCTTCAACAGTGACAAAACAAGATGCTCAAAGGCAATGCATAGTTTGCGCAAATATAACAAGAAGACCTAAGAAGAGGTTTGTTTTTTTCTATTGAAATAAAATTATTTTTTATTGATAATCGATGTAATATTTGTGCT